CACACACACACACACACACACACACACACACACACACACACACACACAGAGACATCATCTTGATTGTTTTAAGACGAAAAGAAATGGCAAATTGCTGAAGCCTCTAATCCATTCCCAGTTATCATCTCTTTAATTTTTTTTTCTTCATATCAATAGAAGCCACAAAGCCAACGGTTTGATAGCCGCTGTTGGCAAAAACAGCTAAAAATGAAAAGAGCGAAACACAAAAAGAAGCGGCTCGACTATCATCTATGACTAAGGAATTTATTCAGATTGACATATAAACAAGTCATTACACACCGAGAAGACTGTGTCAAATATGTGGAGTGAAAAATGTTGTGTCCAGTAATGAACTGTATTATCTCTAAGCAGGCACGGAGGATGAATGGAAATCTTCTGTTGTTGTTTTCTCTGTTTTTTATGTTAATATCGGTCTGTGGGAACAATAGTAATGACCGCAACAAAGACTGATTTGAATAAAATGTTTGAATAAATTAAGAGATTATTATCCCAAGGTTTAGTTCACAGAATGTGTGCGAAAAGGGAAATTAAAAATTTCATATCTAGGAATTACTGTATTTCAGACAAGAAGAATTCATCTTTTTTTAGCTTCCAAATATAATTAGCAGATTAATATTCAATGAAATTAAACACAAGACTGCATAGAGCTTACACGTAACAGACTGGCACTGATATATAACTTACTGTTATGGATTTCTGCGGTGTATGTGCAGGGCGCTATAGGTGGAGCTATAAGGACGGGGCCCACTCTGAACTGAGATAAGAGCAGGATCACAATGTTGTGGGACAAAAAAGGACATAAAGAAAAACTGGAAGGGGTCAGAGGTCAGCTGACAGGAAGGACAAATGACAGAACAGAAAAGTTTCTGTGTGCGTGTTTACATATCTTTGTGGAGACCAAAAATTGGAAGTTTACTATGCTTGTGGGGACCAACAGCCTTTATGGGGGCAAAATCCCAGTCCCCACAAAATGTGGTTTTAGTGTCAGGGTTACAATTAGGTTATGGTTAGGATTAGGGTTAGGATTAGGCATTCATTTTTAATGGTTAGGGTAAGGGAAAAGCATTAGGTCAAAGTGTGTGTGTGTGTCTGTTTTAAAGCGTACAGCCCTCTTTCCAGGTCCTGTAATGTGATTTGATGTGTAAAATGAGTGTTTGGCACAATATGTTTTACAAAACAGTCGATAATCCAGTCTCACAAATGATTTGGAGATTAGGCGTGATAAAAACATTTGCAACTGCCTAAATTTCTGAGTAACAATCATACATTTCTTAGCTCTGCCTTCAGAATGCCAACGACTGATCGATGCTGTTGATTGTTTCTAGATGAACTTTTAGAAAAGTAAGAAAATGGTTACAAGTTTGTAAGTTCCCAAAGTGTAAAGTGTAAGATAGCATGTTACTCAATGCTAACAGGTGTTCTTATCCACAGAGAGAAGGTTTAAAGACTTCACAGCTCTGCTGAAGAATCATCACAGCGCTGCAAACCAAACGTCTTTAGGATCGACTTCACAGGTCTGTGCCAAATACCTCATATTTGCAAAAGTGACTCATTTTTTTATTTGCATTACGACATGAGCCAATTTAAAATTTCATAAATACCCATTTTATGTAGAAATAATCTTATGCTCAGCGACACAACCGGACCAACAGCCTAAAGCAGCTAAAGTGTCAGATTAAAAGCTTCCGGTTCCAGGAATGTCTAAAAGGTAAAACTGGGAGGAACAAGTGGAATGCCTAAACCCCTGTTGATTTCCATGCACACATCTCTTCTCAGCATCCCATGTCCCATACATGACGAATGTTTCATACGAACAGGAGCAGCGCTTGACAGCGACTCCAGTCCGGCCGTGACATGCAAGACAAAGAAGAAGAAGAAACAATGAAAAGATGGAGGGAAAAGAGTGAGAGATGCACGCTCCCCAGGAGGTGGAGAATGGAGAGGAGGGAGGGACTAGTGGTGATGGAGAGACCATAGGAAGGGAAGGTGGATGGATGGAGGGAGGGAGGAAGGGGAGGTGGAGAGGAGGAGGAGGAGGAAGGGGGAGGGGAGGGGGGCTTGACGATAAGAGAAAAATTCAGACCGGTCAAAGTTTCCTTTTTGCCAATCGTGCTCCTGATAAAGACAGCGCCTGCTCCGGAGCTGATAGAGGGGCTATCTCTCTCCCTTACTCTCTCACCCAACCCCTCCTCCTCACCCCCTCCCTCCCCCGTCTTACTCACCCGGCAGTTAGTTTGTGAGGAGGAGAGGAAGAGAGAAAAAAAGAAGAAAGAAAGAAAGAAGGGCCGTATCAGTGCAGCATCATGGTGCTACCATCAACCAGCCACCACGCTGCAATTAATATCGCTCCAATTACTGTTAAAGGGACAAGGCTGGGACAGGACGATAATGAACACATCCTCTCTTCCCCAGCAGAGGAATTAAAACGCACACACAAACACACCCGTAAACACACACTCGGCACTACATGCACAAACGTACATAAAACGTGTGCAGCTTGAAAAGGAAATAATGCGAGATAGTGTGGTAATCTTCTTGCATTGTTTAACTCATTGAAGACAACGGACAGAGAGAAATAAATAACCAAACAAACCTCGATAAGAGGGGAAATAAATAATAAAATTATGGCGATTTACTTGTTATCTTCTCTTAGCCGTGTGTGTGTGTTTTTGCTACGACTTGAATAAATTTTCCCCCAGCCTGTCACATCCACATCTCCCCTGCAGAACAACACAATGGACCCTGAAAGAGCCTTGCGACAAGTGACTAAAGAACGTCTGAACGCATACAGAGTTTGGCCGATCCACTCATGAACACGTGAAGAGCTCAAATGATGGTTAGTTGGTTGGAGTTTCTCAGTATGACGTTGGAGGTCACTGGGACTGGCCAATCAAAGCAGCCGTGCTTTTAAAGCCAACTTTAATCTTTATTAAAATCCAAGCTGGTGAGTAAGAAAAGAATTCACCGACTGCACAGCTGCTATTAAGGAGGAAATGTCCATAAAGACCAAACCAGAGTGTTTTTGCACCACGCTGTAATATCTTACTATAATATCTGCCCACAAACTCCTCCTGCACGATCAGGAGCAGCCAAACTGGGCTCACAGGTACAGATATTATGACATCATCATGTTGTCCACCTACCAACAGGCAAAAACGACCACACCTCTATGTGCCCTGCCCTATTAGAAAGCCATCGAATTACATTCATTTTGATCTCTATGAAACTGTTTCTGACTGACTATGAACCAATGCCATCGTAAATGACCATAAAATAAATTCAAGAGCAGTGACGATCACTTCATCTGTCTAACCTTACAAGCACTGACAAACATACAGCTTCCAGAAGTGAGTTAGCGGGGACGCTTGTGGTGTTGCAGCTTTTCAAAAAAGTCCACAACAACTTCGGATTTCCTCACTTTAGTGTTGCAGACGTAATGTTACTGTCAATCGATGGAATAAAAAGCACCCCAGACTAATTTTGAACCAACTAGAAACAACTACAGACACACATTTACAGTATCTGTAGGTGTGAGACTGACACCTCCGGTCACTGTTGGCCTGTTCTGATCTTTCTGTGTTATTTTGAAACAAAGAATTGTTCCTGTTTCTGAAACGTCTTTAAGGTCCGTGTTAGTCAGCTGTAACTCAGCAGGATTACAGATGTTCGGGGTCACATCTGTCCAACTGTGGTTTCAGATAACTTACTACTCATTGGGAAAGTTTTGCTGTATATTAACACACACACACACACACTCGTGACAGACAGAATGACAGAAACTAGTGTGAGTAAAATGGACTCACACATATGCTAACCTTCTTTATTGTGTTTATGTAAAAGACAGTTGGGGGAATCAGCTAACATTACTGCGATAACAGGCCAGCTGATTACCAGCTGAGCTCTGAGGAATATGTTGATTATACTGGTTTATTTTTCTCCCTATAAAGCTTTGTTAGCACTGGCCGGTCTCTGGTGTCAGGTGGGTTTTCCTCCAAATTGAATTAATGATTCATAATGTTACTGTCATCGTAGGAAACAGCAGCCATTGCTGTGCACCACCGAATCCTGTTACATATCAAAACGCTTTCTGTGAAAAAGGCTCGTTTAATTTATTGCACATTAGCGTGACTGAATTTGAAAGCGAAGAATAACTGTGAAAAGCCCGTTCCCGACAGCCTTTTTGCACGAGCAGTTACTGTCATTTCTGAAGCAAATACGCTTTTTTTTGAGTGATCTGATTTGTTGAAACCTCCCGCGATGTTTATCTAACTGAAGAAAAACAACGGGACTCGTCAGACCAAGAGTTCACAGCTCTGTTGCAACTCAGTGATGGAAATCTTACATGTGTACTGACCTGGACCCCTCCAATGTAAAACCTCCTGCTCTTCCTCCCTTTCCTCTTCCTCCTCTGCTCCGCTGTGCGTCGATGCAGGCTCCTCCCCTTCCACGTCTTTATCATCCGGGCCTCCTCCCGAGTCCTGCGTTCTGGGCTCTAGATACACAACAGAAAGACTAGCGATTAAAACAAACACCCTGACTGAAACCTGTGTGTGTGTACGTATGCGAGTGTGTGTCTGGAAGCCGTCGTTCCCGTCCGCTGATCAAAGGCCTCCCTCGCCGTGTAACACAACCCCTCGCCATGCAGAGATGGACCCTTTGATTTTCATTACAACTCAGGAGAATCAAAGACTCAACATCTTCACCTTCATCGCTGCTACTTTTCTCGCTCTCCCAAATCTTCTCCCAGCAGCTTTCCATTTCCTCCTCATCCACCCTTCCCTCCACTTCTCTTTCACTGAATGTAGGTGGGTCTCCGTCTTATGTGCTCCTCTTTTCCTCCTCTATCTTTCCATCTCCTCCCGCAGGCCTGTCACCCTCAGCAGAGACTGAGGCTGGCTGTGTTCCTGTAATCACTGCTGATATCCCTGCCATTGATCAAGCTGATTACACAGCCTCCTGCTCACTGATCAAAGATGTGCGCTTCTGCAGGTGGTGTGTGTGTGTGCATGCTTCAATATGAGTATCTGCATGTGTGTGTGTTTATCCAGAGATATGTGAACCCTGAACTTTGCCTGTGCAGCCAGTATCGGGCAGTTCATCGGGCCGCTCTGTCCCTTCTTCTTAACGGGACTCATGATTAGTTAGATTAGATTAATAGTTACATCACAGCTCTTCAGACTATCTGACCTGAAGATCTTTCTCTTCTTGCTCTCTGCTCTTACACCATCATCAGGCCAAGGGTTAGAGTGACTCAAAAGCTGACTGCATGGAACCAGATCGCAAACATCTCAACATTCAGTTCAGTTTAAATTCATTGCAAAGCACCTGTTCGCTTTTTTGTGACATAAGATATGAAGGAGAGAGCCCCACTCATTCACGATGATATGCAAAGTGATTGAAGCTGGCCAGTCTTTCTAGAACATGAAAAAAACAAATGATTCTGAATTTGTAAAACTAAAATATTCTCACGAAGAGATTATGCATCGATTAGTCATAAGTGTAGATTATTTACATTTATTAACGCATGTTCAGGGAAATCGGTTTGATAATAGTTCCAAAGTGACCGAGCCCACTGAGTAATCCTGCTTGTGGCAAACCCCCCACTGGGTTTTTTCTTACTGGTCTGGTTTCTGTATGACTTGTGAACAAGTGGGTACTGGAACACACCTCACCAAGTGGCTCTTACTTCTATTTTTAATGCTGAAATAAACTTAGAGTATTTTGAACACTTTACAGTTTTAAAAATGTATTTGATTCTGCGTGTGCATGAATTTACAAACCATAAGCAGGGACGGGGGAGAAAAAGGTCAGTGTACCATGAATGAGTCTCTCTTTTTATTTCAAAGACATTTTCTGATCAGCTTTGGTTAACAAACACAAAATCCTCCCAAGTTCTGCTTTTGCTTTAGTTCAACTTCTCCCAGTGTGAATTAACTGGAAGAGCACAAAGCTTTAATGAAGCTTCCCCACGACTGCACGTTTTGAATCGTCGTCCTCACAGCTCCTTTTCTCTTCCTCATTCTGTCCTCTCCTTTCCTATCTCTTTCCCCTTCCCCAAATCCCGCCCCGTCTTCACCCTCCACCCCGATAACGCCTCAGCTGTCTGCACAAAGGCCGTGTTTACCCTTGCATTCCCGCTCCGATAAACAGCGATAGCACCCGATCGATACCAGCCATAAACGCCTCGTGACCACGTGATGCCCTCACACACCGCCATTATTAATGTAACAGTTGAGAGGCTGGGTGGATGTGCGCCGTCAAATAAATCCACACACACACAGGATGCACATCCAGTTTCACGTCACGTCCACCTTTCAACCATATCCACACGCAAACACTCAGCCAAGACATACTGTACACACACACACACACACACACACACATGCCGCGTCCCCCTCCCCCACTCACACCCCCGCCTAAACAGTGCCATTATTTTCAGCTATAAATCACATTGAATGGCACATTGATTTTATCCTGCAGGGGCTGAAGCGAGGGAGGGGAGCTGGAGACACAGTTATTGCGTTTAATATTATCAATATTATCTCCCATATCATCTCAGACAGGGAGGCAGGTATCAGGAGGAGTCGACAGACACTTTTCTGCCAACCCCCCCCCCTCTCTTCCCCTCACCCCCCCTACCTCCCCTCCCACCTCTCTCCCCCCCAACAGCGAGACAGTCTCCATCAATCTGATAAGCTGAACTTCCTCTGTCACACCTGCAGGGCAAAGTCACCCAACAATCCCTCGCCTCCTAACTTCTACAGTCTTCTGTCTCGCTTCTGCCTGATAGTTACAACAGCCATAATTATAATGGTGTCGCCTGTTTATTGACACATCCTCCCCTCGTGTTTAAGGTCCAACTTATGCACTCAGACAGTCTCCGTGTTGGTGGAAGGAATGAAAGTGTCCTGAGAAAGCAGCAGCTGCAGCCGTCCGTCACTGAACACACTGGATCCACAGAGCTGCTGCACGCCAGCACTCCTCCAAAGACGATCGATAATGCACGTACAGAGACAAAAATAGGAAGTTCCCACATAAAGAGCAACTTATTTACACATGCTTCAAGCTGAAGCTAATCTCCTACAGACAGCATTAAGGTTGCAGCAGCGGATACCTAAAAAACGGTCCACACCAGGGGGCAGTGTCAAAGACATGCACCGCAGATGGTAACGTGGGCTACTCTTGAAAGTGTGTTGTTGTTCCTCGAGCTTAGATTTAATTTTCTCAATCCTTCTAAACAGTGTTGATATCTTTGATCAAAACTATTTGTCATCATTTTTGTCAGCGACTTTTTCCCCCCTCAACAAAAACAAGACAATAACTAAATAAAAACCAATGTGAATGAAAATATGATGAAAGATGAAAATATTCTGGAGAGACAAGTTGTGTAGAAAGGTGGGAGGAGTTTGGACGTGATCCAATCAGAAGTAATCTAGACTAAATTTGTCCCTCAGAACATTTTAAGTCAATTCAAATGTTTATGATACATTAAAAATAAATAGATAAAAGTCCTGGAGTGGAAGCACAATGCATGAAGCAGTGTGTTAAAAGCTAAGTGCTATCAGCGGTCCTCTCACGTCTTTTCAACTAAACGTAAACACTGTAGTCATCCACGTCCATCCATCCACAGGGAGGTGAAGCTGGGAAGCAGCACATCCTCATGATGTAAAGATTTGGGTGTCAAAACAGAACCACTGCTAAAAACTCAGTAATCCAGAAAAACTCCCAAAGCTGCTTCAAACGGAAGCGGAAATACAAGCGTAACGAAAAAAACAATAAACAAAACAGGTGAGACGATCAGGAAAGAAGGAGAAAAAAGACAACAGCAGGAAGTGCAGAACTTCCCTTCAAAATAAAACAAGAAAGGAAAGGAGGAAGTATGTGAAAACACAAAAAGTGACAATTACATGCTTGTTTCCTTTCTGTCTGTTTGACATGCATCAATCAACTTTATCTTTATGTTAAAATATTTTTAATCCTTTGAAAGTTAGTTTTTGTCAACGCCCCGAGCCGTTCCTTGAAATGAAACCAGCGGAGAGCGCCGCCTCAGTTACGTCCGTTTATGCATCACACACACTTTTCTCTATCACCGCTAATCAGATTCTGATGAAAAGAAGAGAAGAAAAAAACAGTTTACAAAAATCCTTCTGATTGGCTCAAATGAGGGCATGACAATTAGAGGTCAAAAGGAGGTAACATTACTTCCTTATCAGCCCAGAAGTGGATGTTATCGGGCTTCCTGTGATGTATAAAAATGATTGCCTTGTTATGAAAAAAGGAACTTTGCTCGTTTCTGTGGGTCGCTGCAACTGTAGAGCAATTCTGAGAAGAGAGAGGAGGGAAAGGGAAAAAAAAAATCACCACAACAGAGAGAAATGTACCAAACAGATGCTCAAGTGTGTGTCTGTGTGCAGCACTTCTTTGTATCAGCATTAATATTACTGGCTCTGGCTGTCAGGTTGAAAAGACGGGGTGTTATGGAGAGAACAGAGTGCTCGGTCCTGTTACTGCTAGAATGTGTTTTTCTTGCTAAAGTTATCAGGGCGGTTATCGCCAGTGTGTGTGTGTCTGTGTGTCTCTGTGTGTGTGTCTCTCTCGCGCTCTCTCTCTCTCTTCCAGATGGTGGATAAGAGGCCCTGCCTTTATTAGCCAGCGCTGGCCAGATAACGACCTGGTATTGATCCCAGGTTGAAAGAGCAGGTTCGTCAAACATGGCTGATTTACAGAGAACTGATAATGGCAGCGCTGGGCAACTGAGGAACCCCAGAGAAGAGAGAGAGGAGTAAATCAACAGTGTGATGGAGAGGGAAGGTGTGTGTGTGTGTGCACGCAGGGGTTAAAAAACACACAAAAAAACTGAGAAACAAGTACACAAAGCAAGGTTGCCATGGACAGACAAGCTTCCTCACATGTGCAGTATGCCTGACTTCCCTCATCTTCGTCTTATACAATCTATTACACACATAACCCACCCCTCAACTCAAACACACACACACGCACACAGTCTTGGAGCTAATCTCTAATCTCGTCTCGATTAGCACCTGACAGAATTTCCATGGGTTTATCAAACCGAGCCAACCAGCAGACGCTTATCACTCGCAGCCCCCAAAATTTCACAAGAGCAGGAATTTTTGAGATTAAAAAAACACAGCTGGTGAAATCTCGAATAAGTCAAAAGAATATGACTGAAAAACTCTGCTATCACACGGCGGGGGTGGGGGGTAGGCTCGGGATAAGAGGTGCACGACAGGGGCGGACTCACTGAAGCCAACAGAATTCTTCTTCTTCTTCTTTTTTATCTGTTATCCATATTAGAGATAAAAGAGTGACACGTGTGTGGAAAGCTGCAACCTCCAAATGGTGCCGCAGAGTTTTTGCATTGTCTCTGGGTGACGTCTGCAGACAGATAACAGGTAGACGTCAGTCGATTAAAGAACGGCTTGATGAAGAGATTAATCTGCTAATAACCACTAATAACTGCCAGTAAACTGCATATCTGGATTATTTTACTTCAAGAGGTGCTCACTGTTGACGGATGTTGTAAGTGTGCCACTGATATTGCGGGAAATGTGATATAAATATTTTAAAAATGAGTGAGAACACAGATTTTTTTACAGCCTTTGCTAAGGCCGATGACGTGTTTTGTGTGCAGAGCTGATCTGCTGGCAGAAAGTTCTACAGCAGATTATCTTTGTACCATCTGTGGAAAAACCCTGTGTGTGTACGACAGACAAATCTCTAGAATAATACACTTCTACGTTTTGCAGTCATGTCCAGGGCAGGATTCTTTGTAACAGTACTACCTATTGGAGTCTTTGCCAGGCCGATGCTGACCCCAGGGCCTCATGTTTGACACCCCTGTGTTAATGCATGAAGGTCTTTGGCTAACTAAGGGAACATTTTTAAAGCTAGACACATATTTATGGTACAGACATGTGGTTAGAATCAAAATATAGAAAGTAGATCTTAAGTTTTTAATATCTCTTTAATACAATGTATCAAATGAAAATTGGGATTCAGCAGCTTTTTTTAATGTTATACTGAAAAAAGATATAATTACTCCATCATGTGAACAACCTGCAGAAACAACAGATGCGTGTGAGTCAGTGCTGAGAACAAATGTCTTCAAACGCCATCTTTATGCACGTAAAACAAGTCCACGTGAACCACAGCCTGCAGCTCTGCATGGCTCTCCAAATATAATTCATGTACATTTGTAGGTTACCTGTCACGAAACAGACTTTTGTAACACATTAGCTGTCCTAATGGCTTAACTGCATTTGCAGCGATGCTAGTTTGTCACTTGTCCCGAGCTCTTTGTTTCACTGGGCATGAACATCTGCTGGTTTTAAAGAGAGATCACTTAAAAATCAAACGTTTCAGACTAATTGCTGCTGCTCGTTTTTCTTTTTCACATTTTAAATGAAGGAAACTGGAAATTAGACCTTGCAAAAAAGGGAAAACCAACTGAAAAGTCCATGGTTACCGCACTAAATACAAGTGTATGCAGCCCGTCTTCATGACTGTATATTATACATACAGAGAACACAGTCGTTCTCTCGGGAAGTCTGAGACTGACCTTCTTTTTTATTACAAACCAATGTCGGTACTACTATCCTCTGTTAAAGCTCAATGTTTCGCTCTTCTTCTCACCTTCGTTGTACAATGGTGTGTACGGAGGCGGACTGGAGCTGTCGCCTTCTGCAGAATCGTCCGGGTCGGAGGCTCCGCCCTCCTCTCCTGATAGGCTCAGGTTGTCCGGTGTGTTTTCCTCGCCGCCATCGAGATCCCCAAGAGAACCTGTGGGGAAGAGGAGAGGGCTAATCAACAACTGAATGTGTCCATAGAGTGTAAGGGTAGCAGTCTAACGTGAGTCTAATCTACAACATCTGCTTAAATATGCTGGTTGGACTCAAATAAGATGAATAAAGTAATAGAAACTAATTAACTGGCGCTGAGCTCTGCAGCCAATTAAAAGACTGAAACAGTGCCACATTAAAGTGGGAGGAGCTAAAGCAACAAGTATCAGACAGACGAGTTACTCAGTACAAAATATGGTCTAAAAGTAAAAAATATGGTACTGGACATGAGCAGAATAGACAAAAACTATTTCCAGGAACGCTTTTCTTACTCTGCAGAATAAAATGGGTCGATTTTTCAGTGGAACTCCTTCAGACTGGATCTGTGACCCCCTACCTCGCTGGCCAAAGCGTGACAGAAGCCCTGAAGTGTGTCTGTAAAATACACCACTCAGGAGAGTGTCTGCAGTCACACAATAACACCACCCCGAGGCTTTCATCGCCTTCCCGAGGGCCTCGAGAGTGGCAGGAGAAGTGGAAATTAAAATGAGGTTTAACAGGCTCCGTACGGTTGTATGGATGTATGTAGACAGGAAGGAAGAAAATACCCTAAACACAGAGATATGCCCCCCCAGCCCCACTTACTGGACTCATTGAAAAACGGTTTCAAGAATTGGACACGCTGAACGGTCTAATCCAGAAGATTAATAGCCAAGAAGCCAAGGGGGACCTTAAAGCCAAATTACAGTATACCTAAAATTGCAGCTAAAAGAGTGATTAGTGCAGGGCTGATCTGTATCAATTACAGTTTCATAATCCCTGCTGACCACAGTAATTATACAGTACTTTTGATCTATTTTAGCCCGTTTGAAGATTACATCCAAAAATGAAGTGAGTTAATATGGATTTAATGTGACTTTTTTTTAAAATTGCTTCATTAATAATATTCTGACTATAAGATGAACGATTGAACGGCACGTTAAGAGCTCCAAACCCCGAAATATGCTCACATTCAACCGTGAGTGTCAGAAATGCTCGTCTGCATCCGATGACACGCTTCATTCTCAGTCCCCGAGAGGTAGCCACGACAGAATTATTAACTGGGGGTGAGCGTTTCTTTTAAGAGGATTACGAGCGGCAGAGTGAGGCAGAAATGGTTAAGATGCCGCCGAACGCCAGGGGAGAAAACAGCTCGCGTGCATAACGACGATGTCCTGGAAAGTCAAGGAGGGTGGGCACATTGGTTCTGAATAACTAAATCAGCCTGACATTAATACCAAGAGAAAAAATCCAGGATTTTTTCCCCCCGCTTTCATTTCTCCCTCAATCCAGACAGGTTGTAAATTAATTTTCATTAGGTTGTGTCGAACGAGCAAGAGGGATTGTTTCGGAGCTAAAGCCGTGACTGGGGGCGTATATATTTACAATACTGTAACAAAAGGAGTCTATAATCTATACAAAGCACACAACAATACCCGTGAATAAAGAAGCTTGTAGAAAAAGGGAGAGGCAATTTTTCTAATTCTGTTAATTTCACTCACCAAAGCAATTAAAAGCAGGCAGAGATAATGCTGGGAAACAATCGCCGGCTGACAAAGTGTTTCTGTCTTTGTAAATGAAACATCTTTAGGCTAATTTCAACTTCCACGCCTGCATGGTTCACTCTAATTTCAGATAAAATTAACACAGCTAGATTTGGACCTTCATAAAAAATGTTTTAAAAAAAAGAGGAGAAAGACAAGGGGGGAAAAAAGCGATCGATCCTGTACACAATATTTTTAGAATTAGGTCCGTGTCGCTGGAGCTTTGCTAGATCTAATTTTCAGTATCTATAAGGACATTTTCATACAATTAATTTTCCTTTAATCATAATTGTACAAAGGGACTCCTCTGTATAAAATTCCAATTATATTTCCTGTTTAAAATGTAAGTTTGAATTATGATTTCTTTCCTCATTACGGCTCTGGTTTAATGAATCAATCGCTGCATCACTGCTTTCAGACATCAAATGGTGCGGAAAAAGTTTCAGCTCCACTTTCTCCCCGCTTTTATCCAAGGAGAAATATTCTCCCTTTCCCCTTCTCTTCCTGTCTCGGATAGTTGGCAGAAAGGATAGCGGGGCGTCTTGTGATAAGTGCACCACATTCTACTTCATTTGCCAGTTTTAAAGTTAAAGCCTTTAATTGTTACGGCGTGATATCCAAGAAAATTGGACTGAACTCATTCACGAGATGAAGAAATAATAAAAAGACATAACCCAAATGTGTATCTCTGTAGGAGAGACATCAATTAAGCTGAGACTTATCCAGCAGCGCCACATCATTTTTCTGGGCTGTGAGCTAAAGAAGGACAAAAAAAAACCGAAAAAAAAAAGCCTGAAGCTTGCATTTGTTCACATTTTTAAACTTGAGGCTCTCCGGCCAGTAAAACTCGAAACTTTCCCCGAAATGTTGAAAGTGCTTTTTGATGAATTCCTCAGTGTGTGTCTGACTGGAAGTTGTTCCTCGTACACCAGCCTCCCCTGACAAACCCCAACAGCTCTGGATTAAATGATCAGTGTTATGAGTTTTGGTTCAACACTTGGCAAAGACTGATGAATACCCTTGTTTTTTGTACGGAGCAGGCAGAAATGAATGAAACCACGAGTGCAACCGAGGTCAGAGGCATTCATAAGAAACCACTGAAGAGCCAGCCAGCTCAACCGAATCTCCCTCTATGCCTCGCTACATTACACCTGCAAAACCTTTGTAAACCCTACACCGTGATCTATGGCGTAAACTGACATGCACGTCACTAGAAATGTGGGATGGTTGCAGCATAAAAGTACTGTGATTGGCCCGTTCAGTTCCACCAATTTGTCTGGTGCGTTTTCACTGCACTTTTTGAAATGAATGAATCATAGCATCAACACACGGAGTCCCAACTTTCAGCAAATTTCTGAACAGAGACTGCTGAAACTGAGTGACTGCAGCTGGCATGATATCAGATTGTTAATGATTGTCATGGTCAAACACATACCAGGCAACAATATTATCACAGAAATACTGGAAATAATAATAAAACTTTACTATTAATACATTATCAGTATTTGTATCGACAAATCTATCAATAATCAGCAGTCAAACTATGATTTGTGCAGGTAAGAGACAAAAAACTGGGACTTATTTACAGCGTACTGTATGAACAGAACCATAGAAGTTAGCTAATTATTTCTAGGAATATGTATCTTTTCCACAAAAAAGAAACTATCAGCAGACTATGACAAACCTCTCGATGCCTTGGTGTCTGAGTCTTAACAAAAAGTAAAAAAGAAAAGTCAGAGATTAGATTAGGGACTATCTGATCACATGATAACTGAGCAAGCTGATAAATAGTTTTGCTAGATGCTATGGTCACATTTCACTCAGCACTCACAGGTATTTATGCAATAAATGATTAACAGCACTCTATAAAGAGAAATCGTTCAGGTTGCTTTCAACCACAAACTTCTGCTTTTCTACTGTGAGAAATTTTTTGTTTGGACATATTTCAAAAGATGAACCAAGCTTCACATTGGGACAGCACTGCAAAGGTCCCGAATTACAGTAACAACCCCAATTTGACAGAGGAGCGATCCAATCGCCCGTCGAGATGGGACCGGCACTGATGCGGCGCTACAGGACTACTTAAGCTCCCTCACGGAGACCGCAGCTGTCTGTCTCGGAGGCGCGAGGAGAGGCAGAACAAAGTGCTGCAGCTGATGAAGGCGCCAAAGATACTGCTTTATTAACTCTCCGTCCACATCAAACCTGCAGCGAGCAGCTCGCTGATTAAACACAGAGACAACACACATCAAACCTGCATGCTCAACAAGCTGATTAAACAGACGAAAGCCTCGCCGCTCTCACGCTAATAACCCGCCGCACAAAAAATACATTAGAGCTGAAAGCAAGAGAAGGAGAGGGAGAGAGGCGCGCTTGTATCACAAAATCACAGACTTGTGAAGAGAAACATTAAAAGAGGATATTTAGAGAAAGAAAAGGAGGAGAGAATGGGGAGGAGAGGAGGATGTGTGAGCTCCCTCTTCAGAGAGAGAGGGAGAACCTGAGGTACCTGACACAGAGTCGCGCACTGGAGAGGAGCCACTTATTGATCAGAGCAAAGAGAATTACCCACCACAGAGGAAATACTTTTAATCAACTTTGCACTTTAAACACTCTCCTCGACGCTGCGTGGGCTCTTATCGCTCCTCCAAGGCCACCGTCCCCGCCATCAGTGCTCGCGCCGCGGGAGGAAGTGTCCGCGCAGGCCGCCGTTTCGATCCGTCGTGTTCAGCTTCAATAAAAATCAGCTCGTACTCCTCAGCTTTTAGCATCAGAGCTGAGCAGCACTGTCTGTTGATGTGCCCGCTTACGACAAACTCAAGCAAAGCAATAGAAACTGAAACTCTGGTGACTTATTGATCATCTCCACACTTAAAGGCATGTGGGAGGGGGGGTGTAAAAGACCACAGCGGTGCATGGGCTGACAGTCCTGCAGGTCTGCAGAGCCCCCGTGTCCTAAATGCTCTGAAACGAGTTGGTATTTCTGTTTTCAGTGAGACCTGCATGATGAGTCAGAACAGTCAGTTTCAAAATGTGACTGATAGAAACCTTCTCACAAATCAAACAGTTAATCAATGCTCAGTATGCTTCATCATAGTGCTGCTTTATATCTTTATCATAACCATTTGACTCGGCAGGTTGAGCACGCTCACAGTTATGGTTTATGAATCTGAGTTGTGTATTGACCGTCTGAGACTTCAGCACACACTGACTTTCACTCCTTTGCTGAGATTTTAATTTCCAAATCTTCTTTCATTGCATTTAGCTTAAAACATGAACAGGATGGAAGAGAAACTCTGACACGATGCCGTGTCCTCAACAGTCCATTATCAGTAACACTGCAACAGCAGTTTGTGGAAGTTTAAGTTCATTCTTTACATTTTCTGCAAATATCACCAAAGTATCAACTCATGTAAGG